CATGTTGCTAGAAATTGTACTTGATTTTTAAATATAAATCAATCAATTATTGAATTGATAATAAATTAATTAATTAAATTTATATTATCCTATTTTATTTAGGATTATAATTTATATTTGGACTAACTTATTAGAGAATATAATGGAATACACATAAAAACTATTGGTTAGAAATTAAAATAGGATAATTAATCAAGTGTGACTTGATTATGAAATTGTACTTGATTTTTAAATATAAATCAATCAATTATTGAATTGATAATAAATTAATTTATTTAATTTATATTATCCTATTTTATTTAGGATTATAATTTATATTTGGACTAACTTATTAAAGAATATAATGGAATACACATAAAAACTATTGGTTAGAAATTAAAATAGGATAATTAATCAAGTGTGACTTGATTATAAATAAGTTTTAGAAATTGAGGACTAGAGTATAGTACAAGGAATTATAATTTTAGATTTAGAAAAACTAAGTAGGGACTTAATTGAATAAATTTATAAAATTAGATTAAAATAATATATATAATATTATTTAAGGGGTAAATTTATATTTTATCATTAATGGGATTTTTAGATTTCCTCATAAATAGAAAGTTATATCTCTTATTTCCAATAGAGAGTTTCAAGGTGAGAAAAATATATTACAGAAACACTTAAATACAAAAGAAAAGAGCTAGTACTCTGATTAGTATTTATATCATCATTTTGCACTTGAAGTATCAATAACTCCTTAAATAAAACATGTTTTATAATAACAAGTATGATACCATAAGATATCTTTAATTTATAGTAAATATTCATCATAAATGCAGGTCTATCATATAAATGAAAGTATTGATTGATGAGTTCAAGTATTGAAATTGAAAGGACAAAGAGATGGCCAAACTTTAAAAAAAAAAAAAAGATGTTAGTGGAGTCTAAACTGGAACACTATTCAGTAATTAGGTCATATCTAGAGTTATAGATCTCAAATTTAGGTCTGCTTTATATGGAATAAAAGTTAAGACATAAGCCTAAAACTTTCATAGGAAGGCAAAACTCAATTCTGCTATTTGAAAATTCAAATCTTAGTAATAACGTAAAAGACTGAATTTGTCCTGCAGCCTAATACTATTAAGTGTTCAGCCCATATCTCGAGTTTTAAAAGTCCAAATGACCTCAATGTTTTTTTTCTAGAAAGCTGAGATAATTTCTTAGAACTTTCATAAGTAAGGTTGGTTCAAATTCTGACATTATCAATGACATTTTATTCAGACAAGAAGATAAAGATTGTCACCAAGTGAAGAGTTTGTCATCCACTCAATAGTTAATCATCAAATTAATAATTTCAAATTTTGGCCTATAAAAAGAGGCATTTGTCATGTACTTAGACATCTTGGTTTTCAGATCAAGATCATGCTCTTGCTCTCTTTATTGTAATGCTTAAGTTTTACTTATATTAATCTCTTATTTATGCTTCTCATTTTCTTTCCTTTACTTAATTAACTTTTATTTTATTTATGTTCTTATCTTGTTTATTTATGTTTCTCTTTTTTATTATGTTTAGTTAAGTTTATTATGTCAAGGTAAAAAAGTTACACTAATGGTGTAAGATTAAGTATAGTGTAAACTCAATATGGACTTTAATGTTTGATACTAACATGTTTTGCATTTGTTATCTTGTTCACTTTTAATACTTTGCTTGTTAAATAGTTAGTCTAGATTTGTATTGTATAACACTTAGTACAATAAATACTTGATATTTTTATAGCCCAACCGTATAGTATAAGTGATATGAAATGAACTTGATTTTTTGTTAATATAAGTTATAATTATGAATACCTGATAATATTTACAAGTACTAGCTTATTTGAATAAGATAAATAATGCAATCATATCACAACTTATAATCCGATTGGAATCTCCTTTGTGTGTGGTTTCCAATTGAGTAATAAAAAGAGTTTATACTATACTTATTTAAAATATCATTAGTGGATCCTCTAACCTTGATATTTTTTTATATTATTTTTTAATCCTTACATTGATATTTCATTTCAAAGTTCTCATCAACTTCTTCTTCTTCTCTATTATTATTATTATTATTATTATTACTACTCCTACTACTATGACTACTATTGTTATTATTGTTGTTTATAATTTATACAATTAACCTCTTAGTCGTTCGACCTCGATCTTGCCGGTTTATTTATTACTTCGATATTCTTGCACTTGGAAGAAGATATTAATTTTTTAGTCATATCATAATAACAATCCCTTTCTTATAAAAGGATTTAAAAAAAAATTTCACTGGTGATTCATGTAAATGATTTAAAGGCTGAATAATTAGATGATTTGTAATTTATAAGAATTTAATTTTAAATAATTTTTATATAAACCCTAAATAATTTCAGATTTGTTTGTGTAATGAGATTTTTGTTTTTTTACTGTATAAGTTTTTTGGAAAACATAACAATGATTATATTTGAAATTCTGGTTTTCTTGTCAAAATATTTGGCAGGGAAATGTCCTCAACAGCTCAGCAACGAGAGAGAAGCTTTGCTAATTCTTGACGGCTGACCATTGAAAACACTAACCCATCACCTGCCAAAGGAAGCAACTTCCTTGAAATCCCCTGCAACGTCAGCAGACGCAACCAAATTTCCATGGCACTAGTTCCTCAACAAATTCTATTTCAGGAGTTATGATGGATATAAGCATAAAATGGACACCAATCTTTGGCTATCAAACTGCCCAGCACATTGCGGAGCCATGGTACCGAGGATCAACATAGAAGACTTGAATATTGCTGTTCCATAATTTGATGAAGATAGGGGATGGATTGCGCAAGTGATTAGTTCAGTCAAATGATAAAATTACATTTCAAGCTGTAAGGTAGATGTAAGTAAAATTACAGAGAAAAAAAAACGAATATAAGAATTTTAAGTATATGTCACAGAACAAGTATGAGGTAGAATTACAGAAGGGATTTTGCATGACAAACTAGAAAGCACAGGCTCTTGTTAACGTATTATGACTTTCAAGTCACTGTAACAAACATCTAAATGTACATACTCTATTTCATAGATCAGGAATATGATATGAGATAAATGATCTGAATTCTGAAGTGACAAGCCATGTCTTTGTGGCACATGGAAACCAGCTATGAAGACGAAATTAGTTGTGGTATCTATGATCCCCAAGATTCAGAAAGTGCCATGGGGGAAAAAGAATTTGACTAGGCTAACTTCTGCACGAAATTGTTCTTGTAATGAAATTATATTGCATGATCATCATTCATCAGGACAAAGTGCGCCATCTCATACTTCCTCAACCTGCAACCAACAAATAACAATTCAAGGCCATTATTCAATTCCTAAAACTGAAAGCCAAAACAGACAAGAGAAAGTAAATTGGATGAATAATACGAAACTTTACTGAACCGAATAGAGATTTTGAATGACCTGAGGGAGACTCATCAACTCAAGAACAGCTTTCTTCGGAGTCAATTCATTATCTATGATCCGAGCCACTGCTGTTAATACTGGCATCTTAACATTATATTTCTGGGCCAATGCAATCACTGCTCCAGCTGTTGACACACCTTCTGCCACCTAGACAACATGGTCATCTATTAGCAAAATTTCGATAATAAGTACATAAAAGTATTTACAAGCACCTGATTCATAGAACTCAGTATATCATCAAGCTTCTCCCCAGATCCAAGCCGTACTCCAACTGTTCTGTTTCTTGAGAGATTGACAAAGCAAGTAAGCATAATGTCTCCTGTTCCTGACAGACCAGTAATTGTTGAAGGTTTGGCACCCATCTTCAAGAATAAAAGTGGAGAGGAAATTGTGAGAATGAGAACAGGGGATACAACCCATATCTTCACCAACAACATATAATAGAACTAAAGTAATATGCATTCGAAAGAAATTAGTTTCCTAAGGAAAAAGCAAGAATCCAGAATGTACATTAACACTGTATAGCCAAAGCAAATGCACATTAGGCTGAATAAGAAATGTTATTCACTAATTTATTAATGCAAAACCTGTTTCCGGATCATCAAGGTAAACAAAACTTTTCCATGATAGATCATTGTCCAGAATCCAGAGCTATTGAGTGAGCAAACATGAAAATAATAGTTACTTTGTGCACATTAACCACAAGTGATATCTAAGATTTCAAATATAAACTGTGACTTTACAAAATGTCTTCCTAAGCAACCATTCTTTTCCTTTCCTTTTTCTCTCCATTCTTTTGGCCCAACATGTAGTAGAAGTCTTAGTTGCCTATTTATGACCATAACTCCTTACCAATAACAGACATTGATAATACGAGAAAACTTTTGATTGCTCCATGACGGCACTATAGAAAAAACATAAAAGCTAATAGAGATGTTAATTTTCCCAAGAAATCCTGAGAACAAGATACAGGATAAAAAGAAAACTTACTACTCTACCCAGAAGGAACAAGAAACAGACTATATTAGAATCTGAACAAGAAAAGGCTCTTCAGTTGTCACAGAACAAGTGAAACACCTTTGTAGCTAGCCATCGGATCTCTGAACAACCTTGCGCAACTAGAGCTGCCATAGAGTTATTGCCAAGATTCATTCCTTCAACAATTCCAGCGGCTATGGCAAGTACATTTTTTAGTGCCCCTGCAATTTCTACCCCTGTAACATCCCTGGAGTAATCAGAGGTTACAAACTGAACACGTACTCCTGAGTACATACATTCTCTCAACTTTCAGAAATATAGACCAGTAAAACTTTCACCACAAATAGATGCGAGGCTTTGTTTAGACAATGAAACAGCTAATATGATGGTAGGAATCACATAACAATATTACACATGTCATTGCTAGAAATAGACCAATTTGATGCATGGAGTCAACCAAAACAATAATGGGGAAATGAGGAATTAACATTATTAAGCAATCTATGATATTTGTCCAAGTTCTATTTCAAGCCTTGTCTCACCCAGCAGTTTATCCAATCAAGTCTTTCCAAGGGCCAGATGCTGTTGAGTAGTTAAATGCTCAATTGAAGTGGGATTCAGAAGAAAGAGAGGCATGTAAGTTTATGCATATAAAATTTGACTCCCTTTAATTTAATGAAATTAGTATACCTTGAAGTGCTGATTCTCAAGTGAGATGAAGCTAATAGCTGCTGAGTAGCATGTGCCAATTTCTTGTCCTTCGATGCCACCACCATTGCTGCAAATGCAAAAGGCAATAAAAGACCAAACAATAAAAAAATCAACACCATCTAAACATGATTAAAAGTAGAACACATGGTTTCTGCAAAGTTATCATTTAAAATACTCAAGTCACCTGTCGGTAACTTGTTCATCAATTCCAGAGCAAAAGAAGGCCCGGATAGCAAAACAAAAGGTTGGTAAGGATTCCCCAATGCTTGAGGAATAATCTGAGACATCATCCTCAATGTATTAAGTTCCAAGCCTTTACTGAGGGATATGAAAGGCAAGCCAGGATCAACATATTCTGCAATGCCCTCAAGAAATGATGAACTAAACTGCATTACGAGAGCCAAAAGTTATGAAGAATAAAATGCAATTTTAATTCTAATATCAACGCATCAAGAAAACACAGAGCAGTGCTATCAAAGAACCTGCACAGGCACAGCATGAAGGCAAAAGTCTGCATCAAGCAAAGCAGCTTTTGCATCGGTGGTGGCAATTACATTATCGGGCAGTTTATGTTCCGGGAAGTACTTGCTAATTGCAGGAAAATGCAAAAAAAATACATTACAATAAAAATTTAAAAAACACATAACATTGTAGAAATGAAAGTAAAAATGGAAGCATACAAGACCTAGTCCTACCAATTAAAATGATTTTCATTTATAGACTGACAGAGTAAAGGGTCACGCAGAAGCATTTGAACTTCCAAACTAGACTTTCTGTAAGCAACATGGGCAGCCATTGCTGTACCAAAAGATCCTCCACCAAGCACTACCACCTATAAAAACACGATCAATATGAACATAGAGCCAAAAAATTCTCAAATGGGGCAATTATTTAAGTAATCTTGATTCTTGAAGCTTGCTAGCAGGAGGACAAACTTTGCTACCATGTGAGCAAAAGCAAACACACATAAACATAGGAGTACAACTCTAAAGTCATTTTTCAGGGAATGTTGATAAATTTTAAATAAACATACTAAATGAATTAGAAACAGAACTAACAACACAACAAAAAGAGGAAGACAGAACCTTGTTAGTGCGTTCAAGAAGGTCAGTCTTGTTGTTCTTGGAGCGCCAGGAGCGGGACCAACGGACAAGCTTCTCCCACGCAATTTGAACTACTTTGCGGCGACCCTGCTGGGACCCCTCATCAGGAGCATTGTTACTTGCTACAGCAGTGGAGTGGGGTTCTTTTTCTTTTTCTTCTTTTGAGATTGATGAAGAAGTAACAGTTGAAAGAAAGCAAGAAGTGGCAATGGGAGTGAATGTTGGTGGTGGTCTTAGAGAAGTTTTGGAGGAGGAGAGAAAATGGTGGTGGTTACAGTTCAAGAATGGAGGAGGAGGCAATTCAAGAAGAAGCGCCGCCATTGGTTACAAAATTGAACTTGAAAACGGGAATTAGAGAGAGTGACTGAGACTGGCACAGACCTCCTGTCCTCTGTTTATGTTTTACTATGTTATGATTGATTTTATCCCTTCTGGTTTTTCTCTGGTGCTGCCAAATATTGCAAATTGCTAATTGCAAAGCGCGCGTGTTAATTCTAATTTTTATTTTTATTTTTATTTTTTTAAATGAACACTCTAAATTAAAATTAATTACAGAATAACAAGATTTAAAAAAATTAATGAAATAGCTCACTTTAGAATTAGGAAGTATGACATTTCATGAATGCCATAATTTAATTGCAATGTATTGTGAAATTTAAAAATATTAGTACAATAGTAAATTATTAATTGCAAAGTGTTTTAAGTTAAGTTGAATAACACTGAGCTTTAAACTTTATTTATTTACTAAAAGGTAATTGTTTTTAAAATAAATTTTGGAAAAATAAGTTTTGAAAAAGTAAATTATTCTTCAATGTTTGATAGTATAATAAAAAATAAATTAAAAAATATTTTATAGTATTTGATCATGTCATAAAAAATAATCTAGAAAATAACTTATTAATATTTTATTTTTTTAAGTTTATTAAAATAATAAGAAATAAATCTTATAAATTAAAAATTTGAATGAGAATGAAATTGAAAAAAATATAATTTTATAAATTATCTCAAATAAAATAAATAATAATCAAAATAATAGAGATCAAATCTAACAAATAAAAAAATTAAAAGATGAAGAAATTAAAATAATAATAATTACCTTTTCATAAATTATTTTAAATAAAATAAGTAACAATCAAAAGAATAAGGATCAAATTTGATACATAAAAAATTTCAATTAAAAAATAATAAGAGAAAAGTAAATAACAATTATAAAAATGAGGACTAAAATTAATATAAAAATCAAATTCTAAGTGATGAAATTGAAAAAAAAATATTCAAAGCAAAATATACATAGCAATCAAAAGTTTGAGAACTTAATTTGATATAATTAGCAAATAATATAAAATTTTTAAATTTTTCACAACTTTCGGAAAGTGTTTTCTGCTTAAAATAAAAGAAAATACTTTTCTGGAAACCAAGCCAAATTTTTCTTTGACTGAAAAGTATTTTCCGTTAACCAATTATACTAACAACAAATAAACATAGAAAAGTTTGAAAAATGATTTCTAAGAAACCATTTTCCGTCCAACAAATGAGGCCTTAGAGTCACTGTATTTTCTATTACAAAGTTATAATTTCAACCAAATTTTGATAGATATCAAGGGTTTTTTTTAGATAATTATTTTATTTCGATAAGTAATATAGTATTTTAGACTATTTATCTAACTCAAGTTTAAAATTAAATTATGTAAAAGTTGTTCTTATATGACCCAATTGACTTAAAGGGTCCAATGCAACTTGAATAACAAGTAAAAAAACTAGTTTGACTTTTAATTTTTTTTCAAGATAACATATTTTTTTCTTAATATTAAGGCGTTGACATATTTAATCAATTTTGACTTTACTGCTTAACCTACCTAAACCTGCAACTCGAGTTATGGATTTCACTAAGTTGATAATTTGTTTTCTTAAAAAAAAAACTACTTTTACATTTTTGATACACTAATAAAAATAATTGCTTGAAAAATTAAGTATGAACTAAATATGAGAATGTTTATTTGACATTACAATAACCTTATAAAAAGTAATTAAAATAAATTATAAATACAAATTCAAAACCAATCAAATATTAAAAAAAAGTTTTAAAAAAAACCCAATACAAAACCAATCATAAATAATGAAACTAGAAAAAGAAAAGAGAAAAAAAAAAGAACAAAAAAATGGAAAAATAAGGGAATTGAAAAGGAAAAAAGGGAAAAGGGGGGGGGGGGAACTATCGCAATGTTCATATGATTAGTGAAGTAGTTTTGAACATTAAAAAAAATTCAATTCACAAAGAATTATTTAGCATTGTTATTAAATTTGACCTAATAGGTCAACTTTGAAATCCCTCAACTCGACACCTTACTTAACTCGAATTTAAAATTAAATTGTGTAAAAATTATTTGATATGACCCAATCATCTTGGCAAAGTCAAAAACAACATGAATGATAGGTAAAAATTGTTGTTTGACTAAAAAAATTAAGATGATATTTTTTTTTTAATATTGAAACGGTGACATGTTGAATCAATCTAGTTTTGTCGCTTAAACCACCAAACCCAAGACTTGGGCCTCGGACTTGAACTCTATTAGGTTTGATAACTATTTTTTACTTAATCATAAAATTACTAAAATAAACACTCGCAAAATTATACACAAACTACATATTAAGATATTTGTTTGAGACCACAATAACTTTATAGAAAACAAACTAAAATAATTATAAAAATCAATTCAAAATTAATAGAATATTGAATAATAAAATTTGTAAGCCTTGAGAAATAATTTTTGAATAAAGAGAAATATAAAAACATTGATTCAAAATAAGATGAATTAAAAGAAATAAATAAAATATTAATAAGAATGATGGAACAACTTAAAATAAAATCTTAAAAGAATGAGAGACTTGAAAGTAAATTAAAATAAATCATTGGATAAAGAGAAAACATGAAAAAATAAGCGAGGTTAAGATGTGATTATAGAAAATTTAAGACAATGATGTTATTAAAAAAAAATTATACATATAAATACAAACAATGGTTAATTCATAAAATTTATTGGATCCAAGAGTGCTTAAATTTTATAATCCAAAGGAATTACTCAAAATCACACAAGTCCAAATAATTCAAAACTCAATTTTAAAGGAATTACTTAATTAGTACTTAAAAATGCATTTTTATCAAGGTTTTAGAATAGTATTTTATACTTGAAGTATCAATAACTTCTTAATTAAAATGTATTTTATAATAATAAGTCTGATACTATAAGATACTTTTAATATATGATAAATGTTCATCTTAGATGTAGGCCTATTACATAAATCAAAAGATTGATTGATGAGTTCAACTACTGAAATTGAGAAGATAAGGAGATGATGAAACTTAGCAAAAAGATATTGGTTCAATCCAAACTAGAACACTGTTCAATTATTGGGTTATATCTGGAGCTGTAAAACATAGATTTGGGTCTGCTCTATATGGATAGAAAGTTAATACAAAGGTTTAAAACATTCATAGGAATACAAGACTCAATTATATTGTTTAAAAGTCCAAATCTTAGCAATAACAGAGAAGTTCAAATATGTTCTACAGCCCAGACATTATTCAGTGTTCAACCCATATCTTGAGTTCTAAAAGTCCAAATGACTTCAATTTTTTTTGTTTGAAAGCTGAGATAATTTTCTAGAACTTTCATAGATCAAATTTGTTCAAATTCTGATGCTAGCAATGATGTTTTGTTCAAACAAGAAGATAAGGATTGTCACCAAGTCAAGATGTGGTCACCCACTTAATAATTAATCAACACTTTCTAATTTTGGCCTATAAAATAAGGCATTTATTATGCATTTGAGAGTTATGTATGATATATATATATATATAAAAGGAGGGAGAGCCTTATGTATGAAAAATTGAAAGAAAATGTGAAGTGATCTTTTATTTCTTGGTTTATTGGTTAGAAGAGTTTGAGTTTTGATTTGAGAGTTTCAGGAAGAAGAAAAGGTCTTTAAAGTTGTCGCCTATGTGCGGTGTCAAAAAGATTGTCCTCCCAGGTCGAGATCTCTCTAGTGATGAGGAAAGAACAATGAATTATTATTTTTTAGTAAAAAAGAACAAGGTCACCACCTAATATTTTTTTCACTAGAAACCTTAACTAGTCTCATATTTTAGATAGAGGGATTGATTGTATATAAATAAGGTATTAGCAATTTAAGTACACCTTACTTAAGGTAAACTACATTATTCATTTGTTTGATATAATCTAAGATAATGTTGTGTTTCTAACCATTGATCTATTTAAAGTTTAAGAAAAGTTTTTTCTTAGCAAGAAGTTCTTTATCTTATTAAGTTAAAACCTAAACATCTTAATGTTAAAACATAAAAATAAAAGAAACTATATTTTTATTTAATATAAAAAATGTCTTACGTATAAATTTATAATCCCAAATATTAGCAAAAGCAAAATAATTTATTTTTGATTTTTTGAAATGTAGGTCAAGGTCTAATGGATAATTATAAAGTGATTATAATAACTACTGTTCAATTTTTTTTTCAAAGTGTGATAAAAATATAATTTTTATTTTTTATAAAAAAATTGCTTGAAAATTTTAGAATTTGGCTACGTGCATGCAAATAAAATAGATATAATTTTATGTATTTTTTGAGATAATGGAATTTTTTGAATTTTTTTTTGAAATTTCAGTGAAAATCAATTATTTTTAATACCAAGTTTGTATTTTATAGTATAAGTCTACAACCCAATATTATATAAAATTATTGGAAAAACACATGAGGGACCCATATATAATTTTAAAATAATCCTTGATTTTTTTTATTTTGAATTTTTGGAAACTTTTTAAAGGCTTTCTTGGAAAAACATAAAATAAAAAACAAACTAGTGTTAAAAGAAAATAAAATGATGTATTTGCTAAACACGTCCTTACTAAAAGTTAAAGATACAAAGAATAACGTAAAGCATTTAGCAAACATACCTAAAAACTCGAAAACATAAAAAATAAAAAAAAATAAAAACTTTAATAGAATTTTTGTTAGGCTAAACATGCCCTAGGCTGAAGCCCTGACTCGTGGGTTGAGCTCCATAACACAAAACCAAGCTTGCTCTAAAAGGGTTAAAAGAGCTAATGGCACAACCTTTCTTTGCTCCATAACATTTGTCTTGCAGGATATCAGCTCGATTTTTTTGTTCTTTACATGCTCTCAGATAAAGTGATGATGTGTGTCAATATGTTTACTTCTTTCATGATACACCAGGTTCTTTGCTAATGCAATCGCTGATCGATTATCGATATAAATCTCTGTAGGATTTTCTTGAGGAAATCCTAAAAACTTCAGCATATTCCTTAACCATATTAAATGGCATACAACTGAGTTGGTGACACGAGTAAAAGATAAATGTCTTCTCCCAAGTGCAGGAGTGTCGAAGTAATAAATA